TATAATTATTTTTATAATAAATATAAGTTGTTAATATTATAAGTCTTATGAAAATATCACAATCTATTAATAGCTGAACTTTTCTTTTTAAGCATCTTCTTTTCCTTTGTAGCTAAATACTCTCTTCGATTTGCACTGGAACGTAATTCTAGAATAAGATTTATTTTTTCTACAATTTCTTCAGTTGTACCATGATCTGATTCAAAATCGTAATATTTAAAACTAGCTGATAACTGAAGACTAGTAGAATCGCCTAAAAATAATAAATATAAAGCAAAGAATAAGAGCAAAACTGCTCTGAAAATAAACACTTGTTTTCATTGCAGTTTAAATAATTTTTCTTAAAATTTGTCTTAATCTTAATGATTCAAAATTAATTGAGAAATATAACTGGAATCAGAACACCGAAATATAAATGCATCCAAGTTATTAAGCATTAAAAAAAATGGATCTACTGTAAAAATCTAATTTTTAATGAAACAAAGGTCGCATTATCAAATGTGGAGGGGCAGGACTAGAATAAAAAAACAATTTTTGGCATATCACGACTGTCTAGGTACTAAATAATTGCTGAGAAAAGTTTGATAGTGTGAAACCAAGGAATACGCAATTATTGTAAATCTCTATTAATGTGAATAGCTAAAAGTAATTGGTTTTGTATTTTTTTATTTATATATTTAGCTGATTCCCACAGTTTCACCATTGAAGTACACTAGCATTATGGAACAGAATTTTGGTCTTTTGTTAGTTTTTGAAAAAAAGGTTCTTATGTGAAACAACGTAATGTTAATGCTGCTAAATTAGTAAAAATCTTCAAGTATAATATCATAAAAATGTGTCGTTCATCGCTACATCCACAATAGAATTCATCATTAAGCACATAAATAAAACTGAAAATTTGACTTTTTGATCCTAAAACACTTTGATTATTAATAAGTTTAATATTCGCTTTAGGTATCAAGACAACCTACAGCAAATACAAAAAACTGATTTAGCTCGATAGTAAGGAAATTGTTATTTATTGATTTGTTAAATTTTTTAAATTCGATGCATTTTCGACGTTTAAAAGCTTACCTTTCACGGAATTTTCCATAGAACCATGGGAAGGTGTGTAATAAATGCGAAAAGCACTTGCACTACTCTTTAGATCAGTAATCTCACACCAAACTATTGAATCGATGTGATGACTGACTGGTTTTTGTCTTACAAAAGTAAATTTTGAACTCTTTTGTTGTACAGGGTCAATTTCTATTTTTTCGCCGCTAATTCCCAGTTGTATTTCTGCTTTAGCTCTTACTTTATTCACTATAAGTACACGATACGACTTATAGAGAGGGGCTTCCATAGCGGTTTTGTGTACTTTCATTAACTGTAAGTCTTCTGTTATTTTCTTGGTCTCATTGGCAGTATCTAACATAATTAAAATAAAAACAATGAGAAATGTGTCTAGAATAAGGTAAAAAAGTACTTTTATCTACCATTATCTTTTGAAAATTTGTTTTTAAATTCTTCGCTAGTGCAAATTTGTGTAGTTGTTTCGAAGGAGACATTCTTCTGCCCTTGTTTATGTTCAACTAAACCTAAGCAATCAAATCCGTACTTGGCAACACATTCCTTTGGATCCAAGCAAGGAAAATCGTGATCAACTTCTCCATCTTCTTCTGTTAAATACAATCCATAGGTTTCAACAGGACCAAGAGGAAAATCTCCATGACTCATACTAAAAGAATATATGCCATTTAATTTCTACATTTTTTGTAATGATACATGCACGACACTCAAAAAGAACAAAAAAGGATGTACTTTTTTAATGTTTAATTCTGCTTCACTATCACTAAAAATATTTTATCTCAGAATCTATCATATTGACAAACTACTAGTCCTGTTACAAATTTGGATATTCCTTGGTGGTTATCTTGATATAGGTTCATTAATTGCAATTTATTCAATTTTTGAATTTCAAGGACTATTGTATATCATATAGTTTAATTTTGGAACAATGTTGTATTTTCTAATATCAAATTTAGCAAAACAGGAATCATTTGAATGAAATAGTTTTTTCCAATAAAAACAATAACATTTAATGAGGCATAATTTAATCTTTGAATTACGATAATTAAACTTATCAACTAGAAACAAAAATAAAGAAAAGTTGATTTTATTTAAAAAACCTTAATTTACAATACTTGCCTGCATTTAAGTAATATTAATCCAATAAGTTCTTGTATTGTGGCAGTAGCAATACACAAAATAATCATTGGATAATTCCTTTGCTCCTCTGGAAGCATTGTCAAGAATATTTTATACTTCCTGGTTGGGATACCAATCTGAGCACTACCATCAAACTTTTCATATTCCATATACTGATTTTGAGGCACATTGACACATTTTTCAAGCTGCTCAGAAAGTAATGACTTTGTAACTGTAACCTTTTTCGGCTCTTTCTTAATAAACATATGTTTTATATCATCTTGGGAGAGTGGATTAGGTGCCTCCCATTTTATATGCTTTATTTTCGACATTCTTTTCTTGGCTTGATCCAATTTTTCCAAACGTGCAGCAGTATTTGACCGAGCTCGATGAACACCGTAGTCCATATCAAGCTGAATATCGTAAGATTCATGCCTAATATCATCTTCATCTTCTTCACTATCGTCTGGATCTCTGTAAATATCTAGTTCATCTGCCAAATGTTTAGGTAAATCTTCCCCAACCATAACTGTTTCACACATTCCTGTATAACAAACATGCCTATAAGAAAATTTTAGAAAATTAAAAGTGAAAATTACCTGTATCATCCGTAGAAATAAACGAATTTCGAATGTGTGATAGTAACCACAATTTATTGTCGTATAATGCCATTTCATTTCAAATCAAGTCCACATATTCTGTAAATATATTTAGTTTTTCATTTTGAGATTTCCATCACAGGAAAAAAACGAAAAATTCAAAAAAACAAATTCTAACCAATTTACGGTGAAGTGAAGACCATAGGTGAAGACAGTCATAGACCATAGATAGACGATCATAGATTTGTAATCCTTGTCCATAGATAAATCCTCGTCTATTTCTATGGTCACAGATCAGGAGCAAATTGTTTTTATAAAGTAAATTGAAGATAAGAGTGTCTCGATTATGGTCTGAACGTATTTTTAAATTTCTCAGAACCGTTCGTTTATGTGTAGAAACTTTGCCATCGTCACTGTTTATTTATTCATTCAATTTTAATCGAACCAATAACTGAGAAGAGTTCTATATTGATCAAAATTGAAAAATAATCGGACAAAATTAAATTCATAGAATCATAAGATTACGGTAGAAAAAGACAACTAGCACGAACGAAGGGAGTGCGGTCGTATTTATGTATTCCGTTTTGTTTACAGAAATACCGATCTACATATGATTATACTGCTTTTGCTAGGTAATATTCCCCTTTTTAATTTCCATGTGGGCTTGAAAAGAAATAACGTTGTTAATTAATTTAGAATTTGGAAAAACACTGTCGGACCATATAGGAGACACTACCACAAAATAAAGATTCCATAAGTAAGACAGTTTTCTGATTCTTTTAATATTATGGAAGGCTTTAGCTACTTAACACTAGATGTCGAAACAAATTTCTGTAATGTTCCACAAAGCTGCTACCTACTTACTGTAAAACATCGTTATTACAGGAATATGATTCTAGTTGATATGTCATTTCGAGCGATCATCCTGTAGATGGCACTTTGATAATTACAGAATTCATTTTACAAATTGTTCACGGCTTTTTACTTTTGAACATAGGTGGTATTACAGATAAGTTTTTTGTAAATAATTACATAATACTTCCACGTGTTTTTTTCTAATTAAATTAACACTTTTTGATTTGAAATTAATTTGCAAGTATTACATCATATGGAAAAGTCTCTGTAAGTCTTAGAATTCTATGTATTTGTGGCTTGGATACGAGTCCCTTGGGTTGGGAATCCGACTTTTTTAGAAAAGTAGTCATTTCGTCCGTATCTTCTTTCTCTTCCAACCCACTCGCCAGCAAATGAACTTTTTCATCGAACTATAGTAGCACCTAAGTTGTTTTTGTTAAAAGTGGTATTAAACAGACTAAAAATGTTGTTTATTTATTCGTTACGAGAATCACAAAGTAACCGCCCAATCAATTCAATATTTGAGGCTTCTTTATATTGCACATAAATTTATTTATGGAGACCATTTATTCATCTTTACAAAAATTTATTATACTCACGGTGATTATTTCTTATGTTGATGCTATTGAAAAAAAGTTGATATTTCTGATGATTTATGACAAGAATGATAATTATTGAGAGTCACAAGGACAAAAACAATTTATTTTAAAGCTTAGGTAAACTTATAATACTTTCATTAATATCTATTCTACGTACGTGTTCTACACAGCAAAGAGTATTATAGTCTGCAACCTTATAACATAATATCTATCTAATTAATAAACAAAATACTATTGCTTTTGGCGGGAATACAGTGTTGAAACAAAAACTAAATATAGATAATACTCATAAGGTAACAACTAAATAGTGTTTACTATAAAACTAGTAAAACGCAGTAAAATAATTGCATTTGNATTTATGACGTACGTGTGAATTAAACACAGGAAAAAAATTGTGCCATTAACGTACCCATTTAACATTATAAATGCGTATCGTCCCGATAAATGTCAGAATTAATTAATAAGATTGATTTATTTGCCTTAAAAAAGTATATAAGGTGAAGATACATAGGTATTGAAAATTGAATGATTACTGTTCATTAATTAATTATTGTCGTTATTAATAGTAATTGGTATAAGTCTAGGAAACCATATTATGTTTCAAAAATTGCAAAAAAATGAATTAATTAATTATACAAACGCAAGTTAAAAAACGGATTTGAACATTAAGTTGGAAAGATTATTTATATTTATGGATAGCGTAGTTCATAGACACCAAACAAATAAATTTTTAAAATAGGGATAGTACAGCTGAACTATCGGGACGTAGTCGTAGACTTTTCCACTTGCGGCGTAGGTGATAAACAAAAACCGCATTCGGCAAGAAAAGGGTGTCGATCACGCCCGGGAAAAATATAGAAATGCACAAGGGGTTGCTCATTGGGTAACACACTATTTATTCCAATTTTATGTGTTTTTATTCTGTTTATTTAGTCGTCCAGAATATTGATTACGAAAACTACAGCTGGGTCAGTTAATGTGCGTCGAATTCTTAGCTCGAAGAGGAGATGAACTTATGTTAACTTAATACAGAATAGCCATCGTCTAATACGAATCTGTAGGCATTGCAATCTGAGGGGCCACGTCTGGTCGGTTCAGTTCAGTAGTACTTGTGTTCAGTGGCGAACTAAGGGTAGGACGCGGAGAAGGTTGCCCGCTTCGGATCTTTGGTTCCGAGGGGGCTCCCAAATTTTAAGAAGTCTTTTTTAATGAAATTCCAACAAAAATAAACTCAGAAAACAAAAGAATATTTGGACTTTGGAGTTGTACATGCTTTATTTCGAATTTGTTTTTCTTACAAGATTCCTTAACAAAGAAAATCAAGAAAACATTGAAATCATTGAATTTAAGTGTGAAATTGAAGTAGTTATTCAAATCCAAATCCGATTATAATGACTCTGCATATAATATAATAAATGTGGTTATGTCCATGACATTACCAGGTTATCTTACGCATTTAAAAGATTTTTTTTATTGTTAGAGTATTCCGTTCATTAATAATGCCGAATTAACCAGTATCAGTTGATTTTGCTTAAATAACATTTTTTAAAATCGTAGAGCATTTTGCATTTGATGAAAACGATTATACATGAAAACATATACGTAGAGATGTGCAAGATGGTTTTTTCAAAGTATTTAAACACAAAATGCAAATACTTTTTTGATTTGTTTTTTCAAATGTAAAATATAAAATAGATTTCCTTTTTGTATGCTTAATGCTAAATACAAAATACGTATTTTCTCGAATAAATACTTTTTTGTAGTACTTATTTAATTTTTTACATTTACTTAAGTATAAAATATTTTTTAAGAAAACCTTGCAGACATTTGCTCATTTATGTTAAATATTGGAGTTTTTCTAGACCAATAGTAGTGCTTACACTATATAACCAGCTGTGAAGATTGAGTATGATTCATATTTTTCTGTTTGAAGTGATTAAGATATACTTTTTCTATCTTTATTTACAGTTTCTTCAGTTCAGCAACAAATAATTCTTCTATATGCTTCCTTATTTGCCTTTTTGACACCCGCTTTAATTGGAAAAAAGACACTGATGTCAAAATAGTTTGTTTAGCGTGAAAGATCAGAGCCAAAATAGGGTTGCAGTTAATTTTATTGATGTAAAATCAACATCAATCATTTCGTGTCAAAATATTTACAACCCCATTTTGTTTCTGATCTTTTACACATTGTAATGAGAGAAAGAAATAGAATGCATAGTTTCTTTAGCTTTGGATTTAATTTAATAAGTGAAGTTTTTCGAATCGTTTTCTAAGAGTTTTGGATTATAGGCATTTATTAGCACATTACAATATCTTGTAGTTTTCATTTATACACAGCTGGCGCATATCAATTTGATATTGTTTTGCGGGCTGTTTTGTCGTAATTCATAAAACTTCGTATTTCCTTGCTAAAGGTACGATAAGTGGTGATTTGGCAGGTGCTGGTATCAATTTGGAACAAAATTCCATGACATTAAACCCGGAAAAGAATATCTATCCTATGTTTTAGATTATACAAGGCTGTACAAAATGGTTTTCTTAAAAAAGTAATTAAATGCAAAATAAAAGTAACTATGTTGCATTTTAAATGCAAGTATTTCAAATAAATCTCATCTCTGTATGAACCTACGATATGTTGTTGATGAGCTGGATATCTGAATTATTTTAAGAATATATGTTACAATTTTGCATAAATAAGTAGCTACATACAGGTAGAAATAATTTCGTATAAATAACATTTAAGCAAAAGTTTGGATTTGTGTGGAAATTTTTTGACCTTCGTATAAAAATAAATGCTACGGATATAAAGACTTTGATATTCGGAGTATTTTTGCAGAATAAATAATTTTATTCCAATAATAAGTATATGTTTTCAACTACGAAAAAAACAAAAAATTTATTGAACTGATGCTGTTCTGATTCGGGTGTAAAAGCCGTCGTGTGTTGCATTTGCTTCCCAACGTTTCGCTAGCACGAATGACGAACTTCTTCAGACGTCATTCCAGTCTAGTCTAGTCCATTATCCAGCATCGGAGATGGAAGGAGCTCTGAGAGAAACGTTGGTAAGCAACTCAAACACACGAAGGCCTTTAGACCAAAATCAGAATAGCATCAGTCATCACCTACTGTCCGCAAAAGACCAGAGGAATAATTGATATTAAAAATATACATTACAAACAGCTTATTAATTTGTGACTATATTTTAGAGCAAGAAATGGCGATAGACCATGACATAATTCTATCTACGCTATTTCAACCTCTGGTACATCACTATACCTTAATGATGCAGATTTTAATCCTGAGGACAAAATTATGAAAGAAAAATTTAAAATTGAAATGTGGAAATCAAAAGTGCTTCATGGAAAATACCCGAACCAACAACAGCAGGAACATGTAGATAAAGAAGCTTCTAATATGTGGTTAAAGAATGGAAATATATTCTCAGAAGCTGAGGGATTCACGATGGCGATTCAGGACAAAAAACTATGAAAAATACATTATTAAAAATCTCACAATTTCATCGGACACATGCCGAAGCATGCCACACATCTCGACAATTGACCACATCACTGGGGGTTGCTCATTTTTAGCTAGCCGACAATACCTCGACAGGCATAATAATGTTGCTAAACAGATACACTCGCTGTTAGCCAAAAAGTTTAAACTCATAATCAGATAGAGCCGTACAATAAATACAAACCACAAAATGTGTTAGAAAACCACTTATCCAAGCTGTATTGGGATAGAAACATAATTACAGACGCAACAGTTAATCATAACATACCTGACATCAAAGAAACTAAAACAACTTACTTAATAGATGTTGCTGTACCAAACACTGAAAATCTTAGACAAAAATATATTGAGAAAATTCAAAAGTATATTCGTTTGGCTGCTGAAATAAAAGAAATGTGGAACCAGAACACAGTTCGAATTATACCAATAATAATATCATCAATAGGCGTTATGCCTAAAACATTACACGCTAACCTAGCCGAAAATCCTTGATACATGCGGAATGGTATGCAGATTTCTTAATAATATTGACATACCCCTCTTTTCAGATAACACAACAGGTTAAATTAGAAGCAGAGTTTTTAATAATCACCGATCATATTTCAGGGTAAGAAGTACTGTTGGCTCTATAAAATTTAAGAAAAGAAAATTGGTTTCCACTTCGTACCCCAAAAGATGTGAGATTCTTTGGCATTTGTCTGTAAAATACTCATGAAGCATTTCCTAACTTTGACTTGGTAGATATCGAAATTCAGCGACCATTATAAAATAAATATGTTTTGTAAAACTATAATGAGTCTTGCAGGCCGAAAAAATGTTTAGAGGTCCGCATGCGGCCTGCGGACAGTGGGTGACCACCCTTGACTTAAAATCTGCTCAGTTAAGGACGTGAAACATGGAAATTTTATTAAAGGTAATGACGATGGTGAGTTTTGCGAATTTCCTTCTTAAATACGAGTCAGTAACAACTTACCCCACTAAGATGTCCGGCTGTTATACTGAGACCAATTGCCAAAGGTGCTGACCCCTTGATGTCGGTTCTTTTGGGGTCACAAACCGCCTGAACAACGAATACGAGAAGGAATGTTAGAACGACCTCTATTAAAAAGGCTTCTAACGATGTAACAGCAGCTGACACAGCGGTACTTCCCAGAGTCCCTGCATACGCAGCTGGTACAATCACCTGAAACAATTTATTTTTATTGCATTATGTAATAAAAATATGAATATACTAGAGATGGACAGGGTCCCAATCTACCAAACGGTAATTAAAATTTCATTGGTTTAGTGTTTGAACGACTTTTTGAACGGGACTTAATGTAGTTTGGTAAGGGTGGTATTTAATGAAAAGACCCCAGAACGAAGGCATGAACCATGAACTGTTGTGATTTTACCCTATATCAGTTAACCGGTGCACCGAGCGGCATGGCTAGACGGTATAGACTAGGGTTGCCATCCGTACTTTATTATAAAGTATTGTACTCTATTTTGACTGAGCGTAGGTACGTTATACTTTACAAGACACAGAAGTACGCAAAAATACTTTATTTAAGGCCTTAAGTAAACATCGTAATTTTGTAAGCGATTATTCGAAATTTAGAGTATTTTTATATCAATAATATTGCACAGAAAAATGGCAAGGCATATTTACGGAACAACCTGATTTCCCAAATCTATTCAAAGTAGTGTCACTATTGCTATCCGTTCCGACCACTTCAGCATTTACAGAAAGAGTATTCTCT